ATGTAAATAGTGGGACACGAGTTTGTAAGCAAGAAGTGAAACATAAGCATTTTGAAATTATTTCATTTTTCCTAATGAAAAGCTTTTAAACAACTTTTCGCTTTTGGGAATGTGAATTCTTTTACTGAACAGTTCTAAATTTGGCAACTTATGAGCATTTTGGCAATTTTATGATCAGTTTCTATAAGAAAATTTTTTATTCCGAGATATGGGAATTTTTCGAGGATTATTTTTAAAACATTGTAACATTGATAAATTGTAATGTATTAAAATTATATTTAACAAATAACATAAAATAAAACACTTTTATTTTTCGCTGTCATATTGTAAAGTTTCGTTTTGCAACTTATGATACAATATTTTGATTCTAAAAAATAAAGAAAGTATAATGCTATAAAGCACAATTTATGAAACAGTTCTTAGGAAAAGCAAAATTAGCTATGTAATTAATTAAAAATGTCTTCTTTTTTTTATTTTTTCATGGTAAGAGTTTTTTCCCCGTGTAATTGTCTGAGAATATTCAGAATATGCATCAGTTTTCTCTATAAAATTAATTTTGCATTTTTACCTTCTTTCTTCCCCCTAAAAAAATATTTCTGCCTTTTAGATATTACAGAATTAGTACGGATAATTTTTCTTTAGGATTTTAGACATTGCAGAATGGAATGTTTAAAAGAATTTGAAGTCAAAATTTATAGACCCACGATTCTAGAAGATTCCAGAAAAATGTGACAAAATGAAAAATGTCTCCATGGTATTAATACGTAATAAATGTGTCTTACAGAAAGTTTGCAATGAATTTTTTATTTTTTAAGAACATCTGGAAGAACAATGAAAATATAATATTTAAATGTTTTACTTCTGATACTAGAATCTTTTTCCTTGCATCTTTATCTTCCCTTTATTTTCTCTACTTTTCACTAGATACAAGCATGGAAAATATCAAAAATGCTTCTAATCTTATCACATTGACAGACATTATAGAAAGGAATTTTTTTATTAATAAAGAAATTAAAAACTGACAATTTAAAAGATTCATCTAATATGTCTTAATGCATCACATACAGGGCTGGTACTAGGCATTTTCCCACCTGATGCAGTCTCTGATGATCCTAAATTCTGCTTCCAATGCCTGTCCTAAATTATAAAATTTTTGCCATTTCTAGATTTTGTTGCTGGATGTGTCACTAAATTGTAAAAATTCTGTCACACCAGCTTGGTAACCGACCCTTATCATATACATTTCATATTTTTTCTGAATGTTCACATTACTAAAGAAAAAAATTAGCAGCTGTTTTTACACACTCAAATGCCTTTTCTATGATGTTGTTCGGGAGTTTCCCTAAATTGTAACATTCGGGAGAGGTCCACCAGCTTGGTAACCACCCTTAGCATCTACAAAATTCATATTTTTTCTGAATGTTCTCTCCTCCCTAGCAATGTTTTGTTCAACTCCAGAATTTTTTACCAGTCAATATTTGCTCATAAATTCTTTGGATTTTCATGTGCTATTGCTGTTTCTAAAAGGTAACAATTATCATTGAATTTGTAAATCTCTCTCCTCCCCTAATCATATATATGTATATATAAGAAGAAATTTAAACCAATTTTCACAAGACCAAAATAAAATCATAATTAATAAATTCACATATACCCTTAAATGCAATAAAGAATTTAAACTTTAAAACAAAACTTTTCAAACAAGCAATACTGCAATTCAAAATATTAATGAAATTTAAAGAAAAAAGAACGATAGAAGAGGTATTCAATCAACTTCAGTGCCACTTCATCAGGAAGAGGAACACTGAAATCAATTGAAATCTCTCCTCCATAAAAATCCTTGCTGTTCTGTATCCAGAATTAGCCAATGAACCATTTCAATATTTTAAATTCTTTGGATTATGTGCTATTTGTTTAAAGGTAAAATCTTGATTTGAATTTTTCACTAAAGTATTTGATTATTTTACTTATGTTTTCTATTCTTTAAATATAATTATCTTTATTTAAGTTAGAAGATTCTAATTAGAATTTAATTTGTTTTTTTCCTTGCTTTGTGAAAGGGCCAGAATTTTTGGGTGAACTATTATAATTAAAATACATTGAAATGGTTCATTGGCTAAATCTGCATGCAAAAAAGCAAGGATTTTTGTGGAAAAGAGGTTTCAATTGACTTTGGTGTTCCTCCTCCTGATGAAGTGGCATTGAAGTTTATTGAATACCTCTATTATGTTCGTTTTTCTTTAAATTTCATTAATTTTTCGAATTTAGAGTATTGCTTGTTTGAAACGTTTTGTTTTAACATTTTTAAAATTCTTTATTGCATTATAGGTTTATGTAAAACATATTAATTATGAATTTAAACTTTTTGTCTTTGTGAAAAATTAGTTCTAAATTTCTTACTTTATGTCTTTACTGAAAATTTTTCAGCAGCTTAGTGTGCGAAAATGCTAGTTTATATATATATATATATAATGTTTATATAATGTTTATATATATATTTTTTTTTAATTGTTGGATATATATTATATGGAGAGAGAGAGAGAGAATGTAATTATATATGTATGTTGTGCAGTACTTCAGTACATCAAGATGTTTATGAATGTACGTTAAATGTAAGGAAAGGTATTAATTTTAAATTAAGTTATAGGAAATTTAATAAGGAAAAACGGAAAGTTTAGTTCTTAATCATGAAAATGTAAACTTGGATATTTTATTTATGCTCTTAAAAAAATATTTCTTTTCTTTTTTTTTTTTAATTAAAATGATATTTTAATGGCTACTATGTTAACCCCTTCGCGCCGACTGTCACGTCTACGTGCCAGCAACGAACACACTCACATCCCAGCCGACACGCAGGCGTGCCAGAGCATTTTCCGTTCAGCCCCGACTGTCACGTATTTGTGCCTGTGTCCTGGGACGTTTTAAAAACTATAATTTCTGCCACAAGATGGCACTGTATGTCTATATGGTTTCAGATACATGTACATTAGTCCTTCTACTCGAAATGAGAGAAGCATGACTCACATACACGTGTTTTTGATTATATAAACAAAAAGGGAAATAAATGTTTCCGAATGGCATGATTTATGACGTCTCTTTAAATTCGCACGTAGTAGTTGTTTATTGTAAGTAGAGAAGTTTTATTTTCACTAAAGCGTTGGGTATTTCGGTTTGCAGTTCAGTTTTCAGAAAATAATTAGATCTTGTTAGATGTGAATTCTTTCTGTTTTTACCATTGCAATGTCAAAGCATCGAAAATGTTTAACAGAGCATAAAATAGAAGAAATGATGCAAAATATTTCAGATATTGATTCTGAAACAGATTCTGATAGTAGTGATAGTGATACTATGATATATTCTGATCATAAAGAATGTGGCGAATCTGATGATGAGGACATTTCGGACATCTGTATGCCAAGTACGTCGGCATACAGATGTCCAAAATGTCCTCATCATCATTAATCCTTAATTAATGAAAGGTCTCATCATCAATGTCGTTATTACGAGTGCAAGGAATGTAATGTAGGACTGTGTGTAGATCCCTGTTTTCAAATTTTTCATACGAAAAGAAATTAAGTAATATATTAGTTTCAGATGTATAATGTTAAAAGTCATAAATGGTGAGTAATGAAAATAAAATGTGTAAAATATGCATTTAACAACAAAGAGGTAATTAAAGTATATATAAAAATATCTATAAAGCATAAGCTGTTTAAATACTCTATAGAGCATTATTAAACAATAAATCAGAAATTTCATGGATTTAGGCTTAATAGCAAAAAAGCCCCCGGCCCTGGACAGACACTCGCGTAAGACACTGCCGGCCTCCTCGATAAGCGTGCGTTTGCGCTACCCGGCGCGAAGGGGTTAAAGAAACATAAATTGTGTGAAATGTTTCCAATAATTCTTGACTTCTCGATATTTAACACATCGGGAATTCATAGAGTATTTTATGATATGAGTACTTTTATATTTAAATTTATATATGTCATATTGAACAGGTTCATGCACTTATAAATGTGTATTGGTGCATGTTGGTGTTTTGTGTAGATAAAACATTTCAGATGAAGAAAACTTTAACTTTTATTGTATCTGTAAGTGTTAAAAATTTCTACTGATGAAGAAACACAGTTAAAAGTTGCTGAAACAAAACTGAAATTATCATCACAATTCTGCTTTAACACACAGACATTTATTGCAGATTTAGTCCCAAAAATGTAAGATCACAACACTTCTGAACTTAAAAAGATACAACAGAATTGCAGCTGATTTGTATTCTTGTAAAGTGTCAGAGAAGTGGAGGAAATGGCAGAATAGTGTATTACTTTAAATAGGCAGTTCAAGATATTTTCATCCTCTCTTGTCATCACCACATAGCAGTTATATTCTCCACCTTATTTGAAATACTATAATTCAAGACAACAAGGCCTAGTTTTGGAAAAATCCAGCAGATTTTAGTAACTTATATTTTTAGTTCTATTCAGTCTATTACTGCACTTCTGATGTGTATTTACTCAAAATTTCAAAATATAATTACAAAGAATACTAAACTAAACAAGCACTTAAAAATTGATCAAAATACTTAATTATATTAATACTTAATTAATACAAAATTGCAATTAGACTAAACTGAAAGCAAATGGTAAAATAATTTAAGTAAATAAAGCAAACACAGGTTAATACAAAATAGATAAAATTAAATGTACAACAAAATTAAAAATTTCTATAAAATCGTAGTATCATAATGTTGTATCTCAAAAAGAAAATAAAAAATGAATTAAAAAATTCAAACATTTTTCTGTCAAAGTTTAGCATATTGCCATAACATTTAACCATTTAATTGGTTTCTTAAAGCAAAGGCGAGGTTATTTTCCTCATTTTTAAAACACTATTTGAAAAAGAAATCATATTTTTTAATATGTATATACCATTAATTTTTTAATGCTATAAGCTGTTGTTTTCTTATTTGTTTAAGGTTAATATGCTATACTGCATTACAGGAAATTGCGCAAGTGCTGGTGCTCTTAGTGACAACATTGCTCACAATCTTAGTTCATTGTCCTTTCGTGGAGTATCACAGTCAAGAAATACTAATTCACCTGAGGATGCTTGTTCTTCGGAAAATGTTTTACACAGAGTAAGAAGGCAAAAATTATAATCTCTCCTTATTAATATTTCATACCTGAATTTGTTTATTGATTGTTTTTCTCTTAATAATATTTCTGGTACTTTTAAAGTATAGTTAGCCAAGTAGATAATTTTTTTTTTAAGTTGTATTTTTTTTTTTTTTTTTCTGATCTTCCAAGCTGTATATTTTTGATAATTTGAATTCATTTCTAAATGTTTAAAAACTTTTTATCTACTATCTTAGTATTTGTATGATTGTTCTTTACACCTTTATATTGTAAAAATGTCATTCATCAAAACTTGCAGCACGATTATTTTTTCAATAACCATGAAATTTATTGCATATGATTTCATATTATCATGCATACATAATTTTCACATTAAAAATATAAATTTTATAAAGATAAAAATGAAAATTTTGTGTTAATTAAGTGGGAGAAGAATAAGAAATATATACTACTGTTTTCCGAACCTGCTGTTTAAATTAACAACTGTAATAATTGCAAACTTGCTATTTAAATTAACTACTGTAATAACATAAAAAAGTAATTGAAAGATAATATCGATGTAGTCTCAGTATTCTCTTGAATCTGTCACCTATGCATAAGTACAATGTTTTGGGACTCTAAAGCATTTCAATATCTTTGCCATTATTAACAAGGCTATTGAAAGTTTCTAATAACTGCCTTTGTGAAGGTTTGTCCTAAAAGTTATATAAGAATCTGTATGACATTATTGTGTGACTATAAGAAATCACATATTGCCTTATATGAGAATATATGTTAAATTCAAATATATATATGTATATTATAAGTCTATATATAAGTCATATATATGTAATGCTTTTGAAGCGCAGTCGTGAGGGCAGAGTGGCAGGCTGAGAAGACAAGCAGATGATGCCAACACAAAAATGAATTATATGAATTCCCAATATTCTGTAATTTCCATGCATATAAAATCCTCTCAGTAGATATTTATCCAATCATATTGAAATCCAATACATTTCTATGATTCAATCATTATGAAATATGATTTTAAAAAGAAATTATTTAGGCAGTTAACCAAAGGTAAAGCAATGTGGTGTTGACAGAGCAGCAGTTAGGAAAAGGAAGACTGATGCAATTAACTCATCAGCGGTATTTGTATTAAGTGTGAGGTATAAGTAGAGGTAATCTGTGATTGGTTAATTTGAGGAAGTTGCATATCATAGATGATTCTTGAATTTGGAAGAACAGATGAATTTAGAGGGAGAGCACCAAATCTAGAATATTAATTCTGAGGTTGTCAATTACTTTTAAAGCAGCTATCATATTTTGTTATATCTTACATTAGCAGCTTATATTCTCTTCTGTATTCTATAAACAGTAACCTCTATTTTCACTGCGTCATTCCGAGACTAATCTATGTCATATGACTCTTGCATAATTCTGATAACGTAAATGAAAAGTAAAACTCAAACAGCCAGTAGTAATTTTATAGCAATATTAACTATCCAATAAAAATGCATTGAAAACCATAACTAACTCGGTCTGAATTAAGATTTCACCCTGAACATAACGCACTTGCTTTCTACACTTTGGCCTAGCTGGACTGCTATCTGGCTGCTCCTTCTTTCTTACTGCAAATTTATCTAAAATGTAATTTTTTTGGAATAGGCACAATTAATGTGCCAACTTGATTATGGCTGCAACATGTTTACTGAAATAAAAGTTGAATTAAATATACCTTGACTAACTAATTTCTTATACATTGTAAGTCGGCGGTTCAGCATTCTGTGACATCAAAATCCTCGCTGTTCATAACTGATTCAACTGCCTGCATTCTAATTCAGAATCTATTACATTTGTATGTCTATTTGTCACATATTTGTATTATTTGTCTATAAGAAGTTATTTATGAAAATGATTGTATCCTATAATCAGCTTTTATTGTGGAATTTATTTTAAAATGGTATTTTAGAGAAGTTTTCCAATAAGTTTGGTGTCAAAGTTGTTACAGGCATCCTTGTGGCTATAAATGGACAAAATAATCTGCAAATATGCTTATAAGTATTCAGTAGTTGCTTTGAAAGTATATGTAGGATCAATTCATTTAGGCTTTTCTGTAGTACTGCCATCAGTATCATTTAGTGCTTCTGATCTTTGACCGCTCTCATTTTTTAAAATACATTCTATGTTATTCCTAAATTGACCACTGCTTCAGCACTCAAGAGAAGACATCTTGTACAGTCACCTGACTGACTGTACAAGATGTGAGCATAGTTTGAGCTTTCCAGATTCTGTATCATTTTCATAATTTGGGGCAGAATTCAAAAATGAAAGCTATTTGAACCTATATTTTACAAAACAGAATTTAATTTTCAAAACGTTTCTTTAGGAAACCAGTATTCTAGTTGTCATTCTAAACTTCGAACTAAAAATTCCACTTTGTTATTACAGATGCAGCATAAAATTTACTGCAAGTTAAGGTGCATTTTCTTTTAAATATCTTAATTATGGAAATATAATTATTGATATATTATATATTATTAATAATATATGAAATATAATTATTATATGGAAATAGTCTGATTCATCTTCTGTCATTTTATCAACTGTTGCTTGAAAGCAAACAGAAGAATTAACAGCATCAAAAAAAAAAAAAAAAAAAGTTATTTATTGTTCTAATTCTCAATCAATATTTTTCAGTAAGACTAAGATTGAAATAAAATTTTGATGGTGTTTGTTTATTCCAGTTTCTTTTTTTTTTTTTTTTTTTTTTTTTTCCTTGAACATTTTTATTGGAGAATAAAATCTTGTGTGGGTTATTGTTTAATTGAAAGAAACAAATTTGATCTAATAATAAAAAGTTTGTTAAATAGCACACTTCTGAAATTTGAAATTTCAAATAAACAATTTTAAAAAAACTGATGAAAAAAAATTACCATGTGCTAAAATTTAATCTTTATTAATCAGATTTTTGATTGTATGAAGTAGTTTTGATCCCCATTATCTCTGAAAATCAATGTTTTAACTGCAGTTAAATTAGTGGCGGGAAAGAGTTGGGAATACACATATTGAAAATATGTATATGCAATACATATTTTCAATAAAGATTTTCTTTTATTAATAAATTTTGTTGCCTCAACACAATATGTTCATTTACACAATTTTAAAGTTCTGGTAGTTTTTGTAATTTGTTATTTAAAACTTAAATAACAAATTACAAAAACAAAAAAATTAAAGTTAAAAAATAGTATTCATGCGTGCCAAAGTAAATATAGCAGCTAAGGTAGTCTAATGAATTAATTACCTTGGTAAGTTTCTTTTGATCCTCGGCTGCAGTGTTTAGACTTGTTGAATATCTGAAGTATCATTTGCAGATCTGCCTTTGGTTTCATTTAATTAATTTTCTAATCTTTTTTGTTCTTATCACATTAGAAAATGTGACATAAGCATTTGCATTCCTTATGAGAATGCTTGAACTGCAGTAGCTGGCTGAATATTAACTAATGCTTTCTATATGACATAATTTACTTTTTATTGCTTGAAATGTTGTCTTATATTCCAGATTGGGAACTCCTAATCTAATGGATATAGATTAGAAGGTCAAGGGCAAAACTAGTCTAAAAAACCTATTTTAAAAAATAATTGTTGCGGATTAAAATGCCTTCTTTATTATCTCTAAAAAGAAATTCATCGTAAACTGCTGGCATAAAAAAAAAAGAAACTGCATAATGTTATTATAAAAGGAAAATATAGTGTCTTTTAAGTGCACTATCCTTGTTTGTAAGCTTGCTGAAAGGTGTATCTGTATATTGAATTAAAATAATATGAAGGAATATTCCATCACAGTTATAATATACTTCTTAGTATTTGCATGGTTTGCAGTTACTAGTTCAAACAAATTCAAACAGATAAAATATAGGCTTCTCCAAACAAAATTATATACAGTATTCAAAAAGATTGTAATAACTTCATTTTTAAACAGGTGTAATAGTACAGGTTTAGGAAGGTTGACTCAAACATTTTCTTTTCTCTGCAGTTTGTATTGAGTATGGAAGGTGTGGTGTTGCTGGAATCTCTCGAACGAAAAATGGTATATCAGGAAGAGAAGGCATTTTGCATCTTGTAATGTGTGAAACTGGAATCTAATTTTGGTCCAACATGCATTTGTAGATAATTTGGAAAAGATAGCCCAACTGATAAAAGCATTCAAAAGTGGTATTACCAATTTGAAGAAACAGGCTGTCTTTGTAAAGGCAAAAACACTGGGAGGCTATGTGTAAATAACAAGAATATGGGAAAGATAAGGGCAATGTTTCTACGCATCTCAAAGAAGGAAATCAAGAGAGTCATATCGAGCACTTACAATGTCATAAAATAAAAGTATTTGAGTTGCACTTTCCTTTCAATTTGTTCTGGAAAGTGCGTGTTTGTAATTGACTTTATTCTAGTATGTTAAAATATCATACCTCATTTTGAATAACCCTGTATATGCTAATCATAATGGACATTTTTGCCCTGCTTACTGTGGATCTGATAAATCCTAAGAAATCCAACAGGCTAGCTATTTCAAATACACCTGCCATGTAATAAAACTATCTATTTTTCACAACAGTTTTGAAAGTGAAGGGATCATCCTTAGATTTCTGCAGCATCTCCAGTACATTCATAACACTTTTTTTTAACTCAAAGGAATATTTTTTGTTGTAATGTCATACTATAACAAGATGAATGGATACCTTCTTTAGAGAAAGTCTGTGATGAATAAATATTTTTATACTGATAGCTGATGTGTGTGTATTTGAACTTTAAACACATTACTAAAACATTTTAGTAAATAATCCTCTAGCAGAGTTACAAAATCACAAATTAGTATAGTTGTGAATGCTTTATTTAAGATGAAAGAGATATTGCTCAATGTGAGCAGTACAAAATAAGTTGAAAGCTTCAAAAACATTTAAAATGAATTAATAATTTAAAATGTTCAAAAGTCACCTACTTAAACTAATTCAGACCTTATGAAAGGTAACTTTAGCTTTACCTTTTAGGTGGTGTACTTGCTGGAGGATTGTAAGGATAGTTGGGAGAGTAGCTGAAATGGCTATGGCTCCCATTTAATCTTATCTTGTTAATTTTATATCTTTTAGTTTGCATTTGATCTGGGTTTTTGTGTTTCATTATAGAAAATTTTTTTTTTTTTAAATTCTAACATTAGCTGGCTTTTTTGCAGAATAATTGTGTAATAATTTTGTAAAATGAAATTTGTGAAAATGATATTGAAAAGCTGGTTTTATCACCTTTTAATTGTAGACAAATAATTCTGTGGAATTTTTTTTTTTTTTTTTTTTTGTGTGTGTGTGTGTGTTCTCTATAGATCAATCAGGCTTTTATGAGGAAGATTCCCCCTAAAGCAGAAGCATCAAATATTCTAGTAGGGGAATTAGAATGTCTAGATAAAGTGATTTCAGCTTTCATTCGTCTTTCTGAGAGTTGTAATTTGGGTGATCTGACAGAAGTCCCAGTTCCCACTAGGTTTATTTTCCTCCTCCTTGGGCCAACTGGCAATTCTCTTAAGTATCATGAGATTGGAAGAGCCATAGCAACATTATTGAGTGATGAGGTATGTTTCCTACAAATTTGTTTAAAAACTAGTATCTTTTTTTGTTGTTTGTATGCAAAATAGCTGTATCTACTACTTTTCATCTATTTCAGGTGTTTCATGGTGTTGCATACAAAGCTAAAGATCGTTTGGATTTACTGGCTGGTGTAGATGAATTTCTAGATGCCACAACTGTCTTGCCTCCTGGAGTATGGGATCCCAGCACACGTATTGAGCCACCAATACAAACAGCATCTCAAGTAAAATAACAGTTACTATTTTTGTATGTGATATATTTCTGTTTGTTTAGATGTATTATTGTTGTTTTGTTTTGTACATCTTTTCACTGGGTTTTTCTGAAGACTTTTATTAAATTCTTTGTTCTTTACTTATTTTGCCCTCTTCAAATCATCGTTTACAATTTTTGGGGAGCATAAAGTATGTTTTAAGTCTATCATATGAATATTTCTGGTTTAAAAAAAAAGGTTTCTAGTATTATTGTTACCGTTCACTTCATTTTCAAGAATGAAAAGAAAAACAGCAATCTCAGTATTGGTGACTTCTGTGACAACATTATTTTATACCTTGCCTTTTTAAAAAATCAGCATTTTTGAAAAAATTTTAGGAATTATTTAATTTTTTTTCAATTGTTTGCTGGTTTAATGTATCTGTAGTGTTCTGGCAAAGAATTAGATTCATGTGATGATTATAAAAGACCTATGGTTTTTTTGAAATAATTTGGTTTTTAAAAGGCCTTAATTTCAACCAAAATTAGCAGGCAGACCTTAAATTTGTTCACTGGACATCTGTCTGTTTTTATGACTGCCATTTTGAATGTGAATTAACATTTTATATAAACATAATATTCAAATCACATCTCATAATGCAGGTGTTACAAATTAGCTTTGTAAGCAACAAAAACTAATCTTCTATCTCAGACTGAGCTTTCAGATTCTTTGATCAAGACCTTTTAAAGCATAATCTATGATGAAAACTTTGAAGATGATACCATGATTTTTGTCACTACATTATTTTCAAGAAGATCAAAGCCTAAACTTCTTAAACATCAGATTTCCATCCACTGCTGTCAGTGAATACAAAACATTTTCAAGGATATGGACAAAAGCCATACATAGGACATTAAAAAAGGTGGAGAGAATACTTTGAAATTTCTTCCCAGTATTAGAAGAATCTAAAGTTGGGAAGGTCCATTTTGTTTCCATAGAGAATTTTATTTCCTCAAGTTTTAGGGCCACTAAAAACAATGAACATGGGCCAAATTTTATGAAATTTTTGTATTTTTATCTGCTTTAGTTTAATTATTTTGCTCGTGAAATTTATTTTTTATAAATTTTCAGTTCTTGTAAAAGTATGACAAATTGCCAGTTTGATGATTCATTGCCAAATATGTGTGTGATATGCATACTGCTTGTAGACAATTATTTTATTATTTGAATTTGTTATCTTTTATTACATCAAAAACAACTTTTCTCATTTTGGAATATAAATTCTTCAGTTATCTATCATTGTCATATTGAATTTGTATACAAATTTTCTAATTTGCAGGTTTGCCAATCCCCCCTCTCCCATGTATGATGTTTATTTTACATTTTTTATGATGAGAGTTTTCTTTTGTATAATTATATAAAAGTATTGTAAAATTTTGCATGGCAAAATATTATGTATTATATCTAAATTTATATCAAAGTATGATTTATGTATCAGTTTGGTAGGTAAAATTCTTTTTAATCTCTCTCTCTCTCTCTTTTTTTTTTTTTTTTTTTTTTTCCCAAACATTTTTGGGTTTTTTACTGTATTAAAGTTTTCAAATATAAGAATAGGTTAACTGTTGAGGGTGGTTTTTTTTTTTTTTTTTTTTTTTTTTTTTTTTTATTTACTTTTATACATTGTGCCATGGAAGTACTCATAAAATTTATGCTGGGCGATTCAAAAATGTACAGACAGATAGAAGGGACCGAAATGCGCTTTTGTAATACAAATATATGTGAAAATGATGTGTTGAAATGAAATAGGATGCTTTTGAGCAGCAGATAAAAGTATTCTGCTGTCTTAAATTATCTTCCCTTGTGGATTTTTAAGTAATATGCATTATAAATGTTGTCTCGTTGATATGTATTTTATCTATGGGGCTGTGCAGCTAAAACTGAGTGGCTGCTCAGAGAGATTCAGAATGATTCCAATATATCTTCTTTAACTACTACTTCATTTCCCTCTACATATAAAATGTATATTTTAACATTACATACATTTGCTTAATGATGCTCACATCAACATATTAGGATATTATGTACTTAGAAGAGTTAAAGGTTAAAAGAAAAGTTAGTACAGATAGAGTTAGTTAAAAAGAGTAGGTGTATACATATGTTCTTATTTACAAATTTATAGTGTCTGTGACATAAATTTGGCAACATGAAGAATTCCTGATTTGAATGATTGATCGGCTTGCAGGCAATGATAATGTTTCATAGCTAGCACATTGTTCCATTCCCCCTCCAAAATGTTACTCCCTTTATAGTTCAGCTTCCAGTTTTTTTTAAAATTTATTATTATTATTATTATTCCTTCATTCGTTTTCCCTTGCAAAGACAGACCTTGAGGAGCTGGATGGAACGCATTAAGAAATAATTGCAGTCATTGATGGGCCTTAAACAGGCTGAGAAGCTCCTTTTCTAAGCAGACTGGCTGTCCCACTGTTGGAGAAATCAAAAGACAAGTGAACCTTGGATTTGTATAATGATGCATTTTGCTCAAAATTCACATGGGAAATGATATTTTATTCCATCAAAATGCTTTTTCCTACTGTTCGATAGTTCCCTGTACCACATCAATGCATAATTTCCACTTATTCCATTACAAAGAGTGCTTATTTTAGGGCTTTCTGCCAGCCTGTACATTTTTGCTATGTGTTTTGAAATACCTTCTAGATCTACAAATCCAGAAAAGTTTCTATGACAAAACAAAAAATATCTCCTTGGTTTACATGGCTATATTTTACAGGAAATTTATTATAGGTTTCTCATATTTTGTGGAGAATTTCTTGAAAAAGGGTTAAAACAAAAGCTTAATTGAATATTCTATTTTTGATCCAAAAAGTCTTTCTCTTAACAAATTTATCTTTTTTTTTTTTTTATTTCATGCATTTCTCTAGCCACGAGCATGGTAAATTGCAAAAGTCAATCTAATCTTGTCGCATGAATGGAATGAATAAGTATGTATAGAGAAAGGACTTTATCTATCTTGATCTTGAAAGTTTAATTTAAAATTGTCATCTTGTACCATATTTCAATTCTTAGAGTTTTCTAATGTTATTCTTAATATTTATATTATTAAAGAAATAAAATTAACATCATCTTATGTATAATACACTGAAGTAACAAAAGTCATGGGATAGCAATATGCAAATATACAGATGACAGTAGTATCGCGTAGAAAATGTATAAATGTGAAGTGCTTTGGCAGGGCTTTCATTTGTGTTCAAGTTATTCATGTGAAGAGGCTTTGATGTGATTATGGCCGCACAACGAGAATTAACAGACTTTTGAACACGGTATGGTAGTTGGAGCTAGACGCATGGGTCATTCCATTTCGGATATCATTAGGGAATTCAACATTCTGAGATCCACAGTGTGCCAAGAGTATCTAATTTCAGGCATAACATCCCACCATGGACAGCGCAGTGGCCGACCACCTGCATTTAATGACCGAGACCAGCGACGTCTGCGTACAGTTATCAGTGTTCACAGACAAGCAATACTGCATCAAATAACTGCAGAAATCAATGTGGGACGTACGAGGGACGTGTCTGACAGGACAGTGTGGCGAAATTTCATATTGAATTTGTATACAAATTTTCTAATTTGCAGGTTTGCCAATCCCCCCTCTCCCATGTATGATGTTTATTTTACATTTTTTATGATGAGAGTTTTCTTTTGTATAATTATATAAAAGTATTGTAAAATTTTGCATGGCAAAATATTATGTATTTATATCTAAATTTATATCAAAGTATGATTTATGTATCAGTTTGGTAGGTAAAATTCTTTTTAATCTCTCTCTCTCTTTTTTTTTTTTTTTTCCCAAACATTTTTGGGTTTTTTACTGTATTAAAGTTTTCAAATATAATAATAGGTTAACTGTTGAGGGTGGTTTTTTTTTTTTTTTTTTTTTTTTTATTTATTTACTTTTATACATTGTGCCGTGGAAGTTACTCATAAAATTTATGCTGGGCGATTCAAAAATGTACAGACAGATAGAAGGGACCGAAATGAGCTTTTGTAATACAATATATATGTGAAAATGATGTGTTGAAATGAAATAGGATGCTTTTGAGCAGCAGATAAAAGTATTCTGCTGTCTTAAATTATCTTCCCTTTGTGGATTTTAAGTAATATGCATTATAAATGTTGTGCTCGTTGATATGTATTTTATCTATGGGGCTGTGCAGCTAAAACTGAGTGGCTGCTCAGAGGAGATTCAGAAAATGATTCCAATATATCTTCTTTAAGCTACTTCATTTCCCTCTACATATAAAATGTATATCATTTAACATTACATACATTTGCATTAATGATGCTCACATCAACATATTTAGGATTATGTATGTACTTAGAAGAGTTAAAGGTTAAAAGAAAAGTTAGTACAGATAGAGTTAGTTAAAAAGAGTAGGTGTATACATATGTTCTTATTTACAAATTTATATTCCTTGGGCTATGCCAGCAGAAGACCGACTTGAGAGCCTTTACTGACAGCACAACATCACCTGCAGCGACTCTCGTGGGCTCGTGAGCATATCGGTTGGTCCCTAAATGAATGGAAAACCGTGGCTTGGTCAGATGAGTCACGATTTCAGTTGGTAAGAACTGATGGTAGGGTTCGAGTGTGGCGCAGACCCCACGAAACCATGGACCCAAGTTGTCAACAAGGCACTGTTCAAGCTGGTGGTGGTTCCATAATGGTCAGGGCTGTTTTCACATGGCATGGACTCGGTCCTCTGGTGCAACTGAACCGATCATTAACTGGAAATGGATACCTTCAACTACTTGGAGATCACTTACAGCCATTCATGGACTTCACGTACTCAAACAACGATGGGATTTTTATGGATGACAATGCGCCATGCCACCGGGCCACAATTGTTCGCAATTGGTTAGAAGAACTTCTGGACAATTCCAGCGAATGATCTGGCCATCTAGATCGCCCGACATGAATCCCATCGAACATTTCTGGGACATCATCGAGA